GTACCAGGAAAAGAAACTGTTTAGACGAATAAAGGGGTGGAGCTACCACCAAAACAAATATAACAAGCCTTTTGCGTGTTTATCCTCCAGAAAGAAATAACAGAAACCCACAGCAGGATGGGATAAAGATAATTATATAAAAATTAAATCAAATATACAAATACATCATAAAGAAGTTCCAGGGCTGGGGATGTGGCTCAAGCAGTAGCGCGCTCGCCTGGCATGCGTGCAGCCCGGGTTCGATCCTCAGCACAATACAAACAAAGATGTTGTGTCCACCGAAAAATAAATAAATAAATATTAAAAAAAAAAAAGAAGTTCCAAATACATCACAGCTTGTGTTGTTCTCAAGTAGTTCTCCATAGGAGGCCACATAATCAAACCTAGTGTGAGGAAATGTCCAGAACCCAAGTCATTCTCCAGCTGGGCTAACCCTGTACCTTCTTCCAGGCCAACAGAATAGGAAAGCCAGGAATAAGGAATAACAGGCTTTAGCAAATGCAATGTCAGTGAGAATCAAAGCTACAAGGATGAGGAAGATTAAGCAGGGGGAAACGTTATGTTGTAGAAATTGATTATGCAAAGTAGAGGAAAAAACTAGGAGCACAGCCAAAGATTTTACCCTTTTTCCCCCTCCCCCAACTACCCAATGAAGCCTCAGAGGAGTACAGATGGTGAACAAAAAATTGCTGTTGCTTACCATCTCAAAAACCTAACCTACCATCTACCATACCCAAACCCAAGGTCTTGCTCAATTCTGACCAGCAAATCTAAGTCCCCATTATTTTTGAACACATAACCTTCTTTCTCTGGGCAAACCTATCTTCTGGATGTCCTTAAAACAATTGTTTTGTAGTTAAAACTGGTAAAAATTTTATTACTATGTGGCTTTGTTACAGTGGAACTTTTTAAAAATCAATTTCATCTGGAAAGTCTACTTCAGGTGGAATTGTAATTGTTATTTTCACACAGGGGGCTCTAGATGTCTAGAATGGTTTTTGTTAGAGCACAGATCACTCTATTTCAGGTGAAGGAAAACCCCACCCACAAACTAAGTGGCCTGCTTCAGGGTCAAATATTACCTTCTTAAAACTAAAACTGGGGGCTGGGGTTGTGGCTCAATGGTAGAGCACTTGCCTAGCATGTTCGAGGCACTGGGTTTCATTCCTGGCACCGCACAGGCTTCATTCATTAAAGGCTGGCGATTCTTACCCTTGAGCCACATATTTGGTCATTTAATTACACATAAAAATAAAATAAAGTTATTGTGTCCATCTATAACTAAAAAAACTAAAACAGGGTGTCACCAGATTAAAGGACTTGTCCATTTACAACTGAAAAAACAAAAACAAACTAAAACTGGGTGTCACCAGATTAAAGGACTTTTTCAATTTTGGAGCATGCACAGAGCACTGAGGGCACTATCATTTGGAGGATCCCAGGTTCATTGTAATATCATTTACATTGCACAAGCCAATGATAGAGAAACCTCAATAACTGCCACAAATAAGTAATACTGAGGTGGGAGGTTTTCAGACCAATATAAAAACCCACCACATGGAAAAACCCAGACTGCTTCTTTCATTAAGTTTTCACCTTTCACATCCAGCTTCTGCAGAGCCTTCCTTAAATCTATTTGCACTTCAAAGTAGTTAAAGTTTATTTTAGTGAGTCCAAACAGCACTGAAGGCAGTTTGAAAGTTAACTTTGGTGAACATTATTAATGGAGTAAATCTCCCAATAACACTACTTTGCAGGTAGAAGCTTTGTTTTTTCATTACTCGAACTGTTACTTGGGTTGTGTAATTCAGAATTTGAATGTTCTCCAATATTGTTCAAACTATACTCCCTAAGGCAACTAGAAATAGCTCTTAAACCTAAAATACTGTAATTGGTCAGTCTACCACAGACCAAAGGAGAAGCTGCAACAGTTGAGCCTCATTGTTCCAGGATCCTGTATTTACAAATTCATGTATTTAGTAAAATTTATGTGGAACCCAGCCTGGCTCACATCATTTTGAAGTGGTCTTCTGGTCCTTCATGGACACGTAGAGCAGTGGAAAGTTGGCAAGTTCCCAGTACACACGTTCCCAACTGAGGCACAGCACTCTGATGCTCTGCCTTGTTTTAGCCCTCATTTTTTGCCCTCATATTATATTAAAAAAAAAATGTCCTTTTCTGCCTTGTTTTAGCCCTCATATTATAAAAAAGTGTCCTTTTCATGGACCATTTGATGCTGTTTTGCCACTTTGTGCTTTTTGCCGCTTAAAAAGGCCCCAAAGAGTGCTGTTTAGTGTTCCTAAGTACAGGAAGGCTTTCCAGTGAAAATTCCTCAGATTAGCTTTATTCAGGCACAAGTCATAGTATTCACCCATTCCATGTCCACAGACTTTATAAAATATAACTACTCTGAATAATGAGAATCACCTGTATATCCATATACATAACAGAATACTTTTATCTTTGGTACTGTGGATTGAACCCAAGGGAGTTTTACCAGTGAGCTACATAAGCAGTTCTTTTTTTTTTTTTTACAGATTCTTACTAAATTGCTGAGAAGGCATGTACCACTGTGCCCAGCAACAGAATGCTTTTTAAAATATATTTTTTTTAGTTGTAGGTGTACACAATATCTTTATTTTTATGTGGTGCTGAGGATTGAACTCAGAGTCTCATATGTGCTAGGTGAGTGCTCTACTGCTAAGCCACAAACCCAGCCCTCCAAACTTTCATTGATTTTCCACAGGGTAGGTTGCCGAACAACTTGAAGGCGGTTATGAGTGTCTGATTCACTTGGTAGTTCTTTTTTTTTTTTTGATCCCAGGGATTGAACTCAGGGGCACTCTACCACTGAGCCACATTCCCAGCCCTATTTTGAATTTTATTTAGAGACAGGGTCTCTTGGGGCTGGGGATGTGGCTCAAGCGGTAGCGTGCTTGCCTGGCATGCGTGCGGCCCGGGTTCGATCCTCAGCACCATATGCAAACAAAGATGTGTCCGCCGAAAGACTAAAAATAAAAATTCTCGCTCGCTCTCTCTCTCTCTCTTAAAAAAAAAAAAAAAAAAAAGAGACAGGGTCTCAGTTGCCTAGAGCCTCGCTTTTGCTGAGGCTGGCTTTGACCTTTCCTGAGCTGCCGGGATTACAGGCATGCACCACCATGCCTGGCTTCAACTTGGTAGTTCTATATAGAACTTTAAATTAATAAATTGGCATTCAGATGTATAAATTGGTCTTTTCTGAATTTAGACAGTATGTGTCAAAGGTTTGCCAAGTTATCTCATGAACTTAGATGAGTCTAGCATCTAGAGCTTTGGTTGATTATAAAACAGAACTGGCCCTAGAACTAGGCAAACAACAGAGACAAAGGAGGCTCAGATGAAACAAATGGCCTTCAGCAGTGTCATTTCAAACCCAGATATAGAGGTGAGGCCTCATAGGAAACTCCTTTATGGGAAGCCTTTGGCCCAGGATACCGTAGGGTGATTTCATCATTGTGTGCTAAAATAGGCACAATTTAAGCAATTATTCTGCTGAAGAAGGTTAAGAAAGTCAGGGGGTCTCTGCAGGAGTTGGCAAGGAGGGTTGATTTCCTAGCATTTACACAAGCAACCAAGGATTTTAGATAGCCTGAGATTTCAACTCTTAAAGTCTTTCCGGAATAAGGAAATCAATAAGATAGTTTGGGATAGGCTGACAAGGTTTGTCAAGTTAAAGGTAAGAATGTTTGAAACTTGTTTGCATTACAAGTTTCAAAAAGGTGGGAATTTGAACTGACCTTGGGTGGAAGGTGAAGAAACTCCCTCTGGTTCTCTGTTGGGAAACAGGATAAAAAGCCTTTCCCACAGGTCATCAGTAGCTAAGCCAGACTTGGAGGAGAGGAAAGCAGCATTTAAAGTTAAGGCAATGTGAAATATTACCCAAATTCCAGGTGTAGGAATTCTATAATTTCTACTTCCTGCCTAGTGACTGCCATCCATAATGGGTAGAGAAGATAACTTTTTCTTTTGGGCATTAATATAAATCTCAAACAAAACTTTTGACTCGCTGGTAGCTTTTGGGTGGAGAGTGGTCCCTACTTTGCTAACACACACACAACAACAACAACAACAACAACAAAAAAGCTGTCTTTCCAAGTCTTTGATATTTACTGCATTTATAATAGTTGAAAGTAGGGCTCTTCCTGCAAGCAGCCTGAAGTGAATGATTCCTTACTCAGCTGACCTAGAAAACCCTACAAAATCATCCAAAAGATTGAAATCTGCATATTCACTTTAATAATACCATTAAACTGCTCAAACCATCAAGGATATGACTATCCAAAAAGCCATCAAGTATCTGAAAGTTGTCACTTTAAAGATATTCTGGTATTACAGTGGAGTTGGTAGGTGTGCTCAGGCCAAACAGTGGGGCTGGACACAGGGTTGGTGGCCCAAACAGAATGAACTTTTGTTGATATGCTCAGAGATGCAGAAAGTAGCTGGGTCCAGTGGTGCACACCTGTAATCCCCGCGGCTTGGGAGGCTGAGTCAGGAGGATCGCCGAGTTCAAAGTCAGCCTCAACAATTTAGTGAAGCCCTAAGCAACTCAGTGAGGCCCTGTCTCTAAATAAAATACAAAATATGGCTGGGGATGTGGCTCAGTGGTTGAGTGCTCCTGAGTTCAATCCCTGGCACCCCACCCCCAACGTCCCCAAAATGCAAAAAGTAATGCTGAACTTTAGGTGACGATTCTCTGATCACTGAACAGATCCAGGTGAACAAAGCACCCAACATGTACTGCTGCACACCAGAGTTCATGGTCAGATTAACCTAATCATAAACTTCACTACAGAGATGAAAAGGAACAAACTATTCCTAAATCAAAAGAGGAGGTTGTACAGAAGAAAAACATATCCCAGAAGAAACTAAAAGAAAGTTAAAACAAGATCAAATACATTGAATTTCTTACCTTGAGAAGAAAGGTTGAAGAGATGCATCGAAAAGGAGAGAGGCTCAGACACTTTTAGAACAAAATGGGTATATTTCTATTGAGCTACCTGATACAGAAGATAGTGTGGTATGGATGGATAGTATGAATGACAAATAATACAAATATATTTTATTTGAAATAAACAAAAATGCTTACACAGCATTCACTTGGAAACAAACTCTTGCTTGACTGTATTACTGAGCAAAGACAAAGCTGAAGCACAAACACCCTTCTTGTTTGACATGTATTTGGAGACAGGTAGGAAGACACTACTTGGTTTTAAAAAACTGACCTTCCCTTAAGGCCTGGTCATAGAAGTGTAAACAATGTAAATGAATCCACCATTACCAGTTGTCCTATCATATCTATGTCACTTGTGTATTCTGAGATCACACACATACCTGCCAATATACCTGGGAAGGGTTGCTATATCACAGTTACACTTTATTTCTTGGCAGGCAGGACTGAGGAAGAGTAATTTGGAACAAGTTTTACATCCTATTTAGAAAACACTAGTATTCCCTTAAATAACAGGTTACAGTAGAAAGATACTGCCTGGAAGTTACCTTTTCACTTTGGTTCATCTTAAGTTTTTGTGATTTACAGAGTTGATTCATTTGCTTATAGTACAATCCTGCCACAAAGTGTTAAAGCACAAGATACGTATTATTCCTTCAGCATCTGCATTTTCAAGTTTTATACTCTACTACATCCACAGTATGTCCGTAGTTCTTGGATACTTAAAAAAATAATACATGAATAAAACTCTTCTAAAAATGCAGATGTCTATAACTACAATGGTACTAAGTGGGAAGAAGACAATGAGGGAATGAAGAAAGCAAACATATTCCATGTGCAGGGAATGTGGTTCAAGTCTTTGGATTTAAAAATGAGTGCCCCCCAGAGAAGCTAGCTGTCATGGAATTTCCAGAAAACTTCCTTTGCCCCCCAAAATGGACCTGAAAAGCCTCAATCCAAACTTTTGAAAACCATAGTTATGAGATGCTATAAATGATGATCAAAGCAGTCAGAGGGAGAAGGATGAATGTGTCTTCCATTTAGCTACGATTTGTAGCAGGGCCTCCTTGGCTGTTGGTGGATCAGTCAAAAGCACTGAAGTACCAGAAGTGCTTTGGAGCACAGGGTAAAAGTACTGAGTATACTATCTGTCTAAATCAGTAACAGGACTTCATGGCTAGGAAAATTTTCTAAAGAGTAAAATGACCCCAGAATAGATGGATCTTTCTTCAACACTAATTGTAGCAGAATTAACAAAAAGGGAAAAAAAAAAAGATTTACAAGTAGATATAGTGATAACAGAAAAATACAAGGCAGAGAACACAAAAAGATGAAGTCAATGCTATAGGTTCAACAGTATTTCATGAGGCTAAAAAAATCTGTTAACTTTGAAAGCCCTAGCAAAATATCACTCTTGTTTATAAATCACTTATTTATCATATGACCACATGTTGAATCCTTTTCTTTCTACATACTGAAGAATCCTACAGTCAGCCTTTAAGCATTCTGCATTTCTTTGCCAATCTTGTAGCTGAGTATCTTGTTCCAGTCAATTTTGGTGCGGGTAACTGGAAGCTGCCGGCGCAAGGCCTTGAATGTGGTGTCTGACATTGTTTGGTAGTTTTCACTAATTGCAGTCTGCAACAGATAATTGAAGGTTAGTTACTTGAACAGAAATGGGTTGATTGTGAATAGGAAAGTAACTCATTAGTCAAAGGACACGCTTACATTACAAGAGTTAGACAGGATAGATTATATTATTTCTAGTGAGCTCCTCTTCAATTTCTGAAGTGAGCCAAGAAGATCATCTATATTGCTTAAACTAGAGCTATGGTCTCTTCCAAACTTGAAACCTTAATTTCAAGCAGAATACCAGATTAAAAGGTCTGACTCAACAGCATAGGCATTCAAGTTAAAAGAGAGAAAGGTCTAACAAATATATTAACAGAAAAATATGGCACTAGGATCTAGAAAAATTAGTTCCAAGTCTTCTTACCTGATATTCATTTTCTGCACTCTCTATGATTTTAATAAACTCCTTGGCAGTTTGGACTTCATTCTAATGGAGAAAGAGGAAGAAAAAAAATGAATGAATTATTTGGTTCCTTGTTTATTGGTTTAGTACAGCAAAAGGGGTGCTCTGCTACTGAGCACAGCCCTTTTTCTAAATTTTTAGACATGGTTTCACTAAGTTATCAAGGTTGGCCTTGAGCTTGCAATTCTCCTGCCTCTAGATTCTGGAGTTTCTGGGATTATAGGTGTGTGCCACTGAAGCAAGCAGTGCTTACATATTTAAAAATTCATTTGTGCTGGATACAGTGGCAACTCCAGAGGCTAAGGCAAAAGGATCAGAACTGCAAGGCCAGCGTTGGCAACTTAGCAAAACCCTACCTCAAAATAAAAATTTTGAAAATAAATACAAGGGGCTGGAGATAATAGTTCAATGATAGAGCAAAACCCTGGCTCAATCTCTAGTACCACAACAAACAAGCAAGCACTAAGTAAAAAGATGCTGAAAAGTTAATCCATATTAACTAACTCTGGTATGATAATCCTAGTTTACCAAGCGTTCCAATGCATATTACCTCCTTTGATTCTTAGAATTATCCTGTGAAATAAATAGTTTTATTATCATCACCTTCATTCTGCAGATAAAAATAGAATCCTCTCAAATGATATGTCCAAAATTATACAGTTTTTGAATGATAAAAATAGAATCTGAATCCAGGTCTTCACCAAAACTAAAAACCAGACAAACAAACCCCATGTACTTTCTAGTCTATCACAGTATGGTCCGAAGAGGTCATTACTGTGTCTTTAAATCTTAATGCCCTGAAAAAATATTTTTGCTTTAAGATGAAATGTACAGGGGTGAGGTTGTGGCTCAGCTGTAGAGAGCTCGACTCACACACATAAGACCCTGGGTTCGATCCTCAGCACCACATACAAACAAAGATGTTGTGTCCGCCAAATACTAAAAAATAAATATTAAAATTCTCTCCCTCTCTCTCCCTCTCTCTTAAAAAAAAAAATAAAATAAATAAGTGGAATAAATGTGTTGTGTCCAACTACAACTAAAATAAATATTAAAAAAAAGATGAAATGAACAATGCCCTCAGGGCCGCACCCCAGGACCTTTGCTTGCTAAGCAAGTGCTCTGCCACTGAGTTACATTCCAGCTCGATGTCTGCCTTTTCCAGGGATCGAACCTGGTGCCTCACACATTCTAGGCAAACGCTCTACCACTGAGCCACAGCCCCGGCCCTGCCTTTTCCACTCTTACTCTCATGCTTCTACAATACAGTTTCTTTTTTTTTTTTTTTTTTTTTTGAGGAGTTTTTTTTTTTTTTTTTTTTTTTTTTTTTAGGGAGAATTTTCTAATATTTATTTTTTAGTATTTGGCAGACACAACATCTTTGTTTGTATGTGGTGCTGAGGATCGAACCCGGGCCGCACGCATGCCAGGTGAGCGCGCTACCGCTTGAGCCACATCCCAGCCCCTACAATACAGTTTCTTAGAAACTTCATGATGTGCAGTGACTATCGCCGTGAGGCTTACAGTATGAAGCTGATATGAGAATCCAGCTGTCTTTTATTAAGGCAGATATTACACAATTTGTGAAGACATAAATTAATGTTATTCTTTTTACTTTTTTTTTTGCTTTGGAAAGTTAGTTATTACCTACAAAAAATGTTTCTATGTTGTTAGATGTGGTGGTGCATGCCTATGATCCCAGCAACCTGGAAGGCAGAGGCAGAAGGATCACAAGTTTGAGGCGGGCCCTAAGCAACTTATGGAGATGGTGTCTCAAAAAAAAGGGGGTGGGGTGGGGATATGATTCAGTGGTTAAGTACTCCTCCTGGGTTCAGTCCCTAGTGGGGGAAAAGGTATACTCATACATTGCTGTTGGGACTGCAAATTGGTACAACCACTCTGGAAAGCAGTATGGAGATTCCTCAGAAAACTTGGAATGGAACCATCATTTGACCCAGTTATCCCACTCCTCGGCAATGTTCGAGAGGACTTAAAATCAGCATACTAGAGTGACATGGTCACATCAATGTTCATGGCAGCTCAATTCACAATAATTAAGCTATGAAACCAACCTAGGTGCACTTCAACAAATGAATGGATAAAGAAAACGCATATACATAAGGGAATAATACTCAGCCATAAAGAAGAATGAAATTATGGTATTTGCCAATAAATGGATGGAACTGGAGACTATCATGCTAAGTGAAATAAGCCAATACCAAAAAATGAAAGGCCAAGTGTTCGGATATGTGGATGCTGACTCACAACTGTGGGGGAGGGGGGCAGAGGTTCACTGAATTGGAGGAGGAAGTGGGCTGGGAATAGGGGGAAGGGAGGAGAGTTAAGAATGGGAAAGACAATAGAATAAATCGGACATAACTTTCCTATGTTCATATGAATATACGACCAGTGTAACTCCACATCATGCACAACCACAAGAATGGGAAGTTATACTCCAGGTACGTATAAGTCAAAATACATTCTATTGTCATATATAACTAAACAAACAAACAACAACAAATATGGATGGATTGCACTCCAGAGCAAAACAAAATTTTTAAAGTAAAAAAGACAAAAGTGAAAAAGACGTTAAATATTTCATACTCACCGAAACAGTTACTAAATCTTGTACATCTTTATGGCTAACCAACTGAACATTTCCATCTTCATAATAGTGAACCTGTGTGAGGAAGTATTTGATCAAGTTTATGTTTATGTTTAGTTCATATAGAATCCTATTACTTAATGCACAGATTCATGCTTTAGCAATTCTGAATAATTAACACAATCAATGATAATTCATAGTAGTATTAAAATAAAATTCACAGAATATTTAAGTTTAAGAATTCTTTTTTTAATATTTATTTTTTAATTGTAGTTGGACATAATATCTTTATTTTATTTACTTTTATGTGGTGCTGGGCATTGAACCCAGGGCTTCACATGTGCTAGGCAAGTGCTCTACCGCTGAGCCACAACCCCAGCCCAGTTTAAGAATTCTTTGGGCTTGATGGTGCATGCCTGTAATCTCAGTGACTTGAGAGGCTAATGCAAGAGGATGGAAAATTTGAGGCCAGTATTAGCAACTTAATGAGACCTTGTCTCAAAAATAAAAAGGGCTGGATATAGTTCATTGGTAAAGTGAACCTGAGTTCAATCTTGTACAAAAGAAAAAAGAAACAAAACCTCTTTCCTTACCAGATAAAATTTAAGTTCAAAAAACATTTGTGTGGGGCTGTGGCTCAGTGGTAGCATGCTCACCTAGCATGCATGAGGCACTGGATTCAATCCTCAGCACCACATAAAAGCATGAGGTACTGGATTCAATCCTCAGCACCACATAAAAATAAAGAAAATAAAGTCCATCAACAACTAAAAAAATATTTAAAAACAAACAAAAACAAAAACAACAAAAAACATTTGTGTTTTTGATTCTAGGCACTGGGCCAGACATTATGACTACAAAGATAAATAAGATCCCACTTTAGAAATATTAAAAATAATAAAAAGCATGGAAAATTAGTTTCTTTCTGAAAACCAAGGAGTTTTAATGGATCCTAATACTTAATATGTGAGACATGGCCATACAAATATCATCAATATGCAGGTGGTACATAGATCTGACTGGCAGGAAAAACTTAATTGGGAGTTAAAAGAAAATCACTGAAAACCAAATATTTGACGGGAAATTACACTATAAAAATAAGTGTGACATAGGCCAGATGCAGTGGCACATGCTTGTAATCCCAGGAACTATGGAGTGTGAGGCAGAAGGATCTTGAGTTCAAAGTCAGACTCAGCAATTTAGCAAGGCCCTAAGAAACTCAGCAAGACCCTGTCTCTAATAAAATAAATCACTGAATTGCTTAGAGCCTTCATTTTGCTGATGCTGGCTTTGAACTCTAGATCCTCCTACCTCAGTCTCCTGAGCCACTGGGATTACAGGTATGTGCCACTGTGTCTTGCTAGGCCTAAATATCTTAATGTCTCTTTCAAATAATTTTCATTGTGACTTTTAAAAGATAATAAAAATGAAGTAAGTCTTCTCCCAAAGTGTGACCAGACATTCTATATTAAAAAGTGTTTACGTATAGAGCTGGGGATATAACTTAGTTGGTTGAATGCTTGCCTTGCATGTATAAGACCCTGGGTTCAATCCCCAGCACCCCCACCCCCAAACACACACACAAGTACAAAACAGGGCTGGGATTGTGGCTCAGCAATAGAGAGCTTGCCTCAAACGTGTGAGGCACTGAGTTCGCTCCTTAGTACCACATAAAAAAATAACCAGCAAACAGTATTCTCTACATAATTATCTTTATCAACCCAAAATAGATCTCTGTTTAACTACCTCCCCAGGAAGGCTTTTATTTCTACTCACTTCCATCCACCTCTCTTTGCATCTGCATATAATTTAGTACTTATTTTAATTCTAGAACAAAGACCAACTTGCATGTTTATTTTAAAATGTGAAGTTTTATTTATTTAGGCAGTGCTGGAGATTGAACCTAGGGTCTTAAGCATATTAGGCCAGACTGAGTCATACTCCCAAACCAAAAATGTAAACTTTTTACCATGATCAATGAACATGTTGGAATCTTACCTGAATCTTGAGTACTCCAACCACCTGGGCTGTAGGTGGTGTAATAGTGAACTTCCACTCTGATCTCCAACGACCATTCCTATTAAAACATACACATACAGTGCTGCAGAATTAGCAATAGGCACAAGAAAGAGGTGATTTACCACTGAGGCCAAAAAGTTGAAAAAAATTTTTGAGGGGTGGGGGAGGAGGGGACCAGTCATTTCCAATTTGATAAACCCAAGGCATACTCAAACCTAAGTCTGGAACCAAGTGGCCTGACCATAATCGTTTTCTAAATTATCTGGATTTCCACTTTTCCTTAGTTTGCTTTGAAGTGAACCATGCCCATTCTGTTCATGGTAGGTTCTTCTGAAAATGGACAGGCTGCTGAGTTACATAATCAACTCAAGTATTACTAACCCTTACCCAAGTAAAACTCAATAATTTCAACTGGGCACTTAATATTAATCATTTGTCCTCACTTAATATAAAAGTAGTTTTTAAAAAGATATGGCTATAGAATCTAAGAATTGGAGCTGGGTGTGGTGACACATTCCTGTAATCTCAGTGACTCACAAGACTAAGACAGAAGGACTGCAAGTTCAAGACCAGCCTCAGTATCTTTGTGAGACCCTGTCTCAAAACAAACAAACAAAAAAATAACAAGAACTAGGATGTAGCTCAGTGGTAAAGCACCCCTCGGTTCAATCCCACATATTGGGGAGAAAACAAAACCCCCAAACCAAATTAGAATTGGGAGGAATCTAAATAATGTCTAAATTCATAGATGGTGAACTAAAATCTTTTAAGTAAAAAAATTTACCCTGCTGAGGCAGGAGAATCAGAAGTTCAAGGCTAGCCTCAGGAATTTAGCAAGACCCCCAGCAACCTAGTGAAACCCTGTCTCAAAAATAAAAAGGACTAGGATGTATGATAAATTAATAAATGTTGGGAGCAGCGAATGAATTATATAATCCTTGAGCTGTCTGTCGATGTCCCTCCTGGGAACTCTCTGAGCAAAGGCCTAGATTTGAGACTGCCCAGCTGCTGTGGTGATGCCCTGTTCAAAGGGAAATTCCATGCTAGCCAGGGACTTATCAGTTTTTAACCTTGGGTTCTAATGACAGCTGCCCACAGGTGGAGAATTATGGGCAAAAGCTGATACTTCTAATTGGGCTGTTTATACCCTCCACTTTGGTTCTGTTAAGAACTTTAAGAAACTTTCTCACAACGAATCCTTTTGATGTTAAAACCTATATAATAAACATGCTGAACTGGTTCTGGGTTGTCCATCCCTCATCAGGGGATGGAGAACCATGGGGTCCCAGCTTTTTCTCTATTTGTCTTGTTTCCATCTCCTTATCACCTCGTCTGGTATCTGAATTAACTGCTGTGCAGTTTGCAGCAAAAAAAATTCTCAAAATAGATAAAAATTGCTGATTTCTCTACAAAATAATTAGATGCAAACAAAAGAGAATATCTATTTCTTACCAGAAGTTTTTAGGCTGAAACTGGTGGCTTTCAATACATGCAATAATAGTCTGTTGCCCATCTATAGTTTTAGCATAAACCTATTGGGGAAAAAAAAAATCAGACTAGAAAAACACAATTAATCTAAATGACAGACAATGCACATAAGCAGTGTGCTAAATCCTTGAGACAGATAGAATAAGCAAAACATAGCACTCACAACCAGATCCTGTTAAATTCTTAAAAAAAAAAAAAAAAAAAAAAAATATATATATATATATATATATATATTTAGTTGTAGGTGGACACAATACCCTTATTTTATTTTTTTTTATGTGGTGCTGAAGATCGAACCCAGTGCCCCACGCATCCTAGACGAGCACTCTACCTCTGAGCCACAACCCCAGCCCCAGATTCTGTTAAATTCTAACAGAGACAGAGGTACAATAACAGAGAGAGAGGTACAATGAATAGAGGAAAATATTGCTCCCGGCTTAGAGTTTAATGAAGATGCCATTTAAGCTGAGCTTTATAAAGCAGATAAGATTCTGATAAGCAGAGACTGAGAATAAAGACCAGTTAACAGCTCAGGCATGAAATCAAGGATTTGTTAAGTGAATGGCAATTAGGTCATCAGGTTAGAGGGTATGTGTAAAGTAGACCAGTGGGAGACAGAAAGAGAGTAAAACAACATGACCAAAACTATTATTTTGGGAGAATACGACCAGCACTATTATTTTTGGAGAATGACCAATACTGTTATACAGGAAAAAAGGGAAGAAAAGCTGGAGGCTGGTTAGAAGACCACATAAATTAATTTAGGTCATAATCTAGGGTAGTATCAAATGGTAATGAAAAGGAAGGGTTGCAGACAGAATGCATAAGTTTAGCAATATATTGTAACTGAAGGGTTAAACAAACAAACAAACAAAAAAAAGGAAGGGAGTATTTGTACATCTGGATGACTAGGAAGATGGTGGTATCAGTAACAAACTGGGAAATCTAGATGGAAATGTCTACACCAACTCTTCCTTACAGTAGAAATAAATGGAAACAATTACTAGGGAATGCAAAGAAGCCATTGAATTTTAGAGTTCACATAATATGTTTTCACATATTATTTTCTTTTTGCTCTAATAAAACTGGTAAAACAACAACAAAATAAAACAAAAGGCATGTTTATCATCCACAAAAGGTAAAGTTGAAGTTAGTTCATAGGTGTTTCTGTCCAAGGTTTCTTAAGAGAATAAGTGGTGAAGATAAAACCCAAACACATTGTTTTTCTAACACTAAGTCTGTGTTACTTTCCCTATATTTAGTGGGCTATGAACTTTCAAGAGTATTTTAAAAGTTTTGGGATATTAGAAAATTAGAGACAAAGTAAAAAGAATTAATTGGTATTGATAATAGCAGTCTAATCAAAAGATCATTTCTATTTTCTGGGTTCAGTATGAAACAGCAACAGAAGTCAAGGACCACAAAAATGGTCACTGGATCAAGTGATTCAGGAACCATTAATACTCTCAGAGAGCACTTTCTATAGGATGGAGACTAAAATAAAACTCAAAGGCTCATAAGTGGATGAGTAATGAGGACATGGCACTAGTAGGGGAAGAAGGCCCAATGATTTGGAGGGTAAGGAAGAAAACAGAGGAGAAACAGCAAGATGAAGAGAAACAACTTAGAGGAATTATCATGATTAAAGTTTTATCTCCATTAAGTACAGGAAAAATAAGAACATTTCTAAGTAATGAGAACTATATAAGAAGAGAAAACAAAGTCATACGAAATTGTCTTAAAGTACACAGGATAGTACGAAACCAAGAGTAAGAACCTTTCTTTCTCAAATTCAAGTATAACGGAAAAGTTTTTCAGTGTGGAGGGAAGAGAAAAAGATTTTATGTGAGACTCACACCTAATAAAACATTGGGGATTAGACGCCCATCTAGGACAAATAAGAATTGTCTGGAAAATGCCACATAGAAAATGTGATAGGTAATAATGAGTTGAAATTACTAAAATAGATTACTAAGCAAGACAGCTAAGGATATAGAAAACTAGTGTATAGTAGACACCATTAGAAAAATTCCAGCACTGTGTTGCTCATTTGATAGCTAAGAGAAGTGAAAAAAGACCCCTGAGGTTATTTGCCATTGAAACTCTCCAAATTAAGAATGGGGAATGACAAACTTTGAATAGGTAACAAATGACAAATTGAAAGTATATTTAGGATCGAACAGCCAATTTCTAAAAGGAAGTGTATCAAGTCTCCCACTGCAATACTAGGTTCCAAAAAGGAATTCTGTACTGGTATCCACCAGAATGGGTTTTCTCCTTTATTAAAAAAATAAATAAATAACTTGAATCAAAGTGTGAAATATGATATATCAAGAACTATGTAATGTTTTGAACAACCAACAATAAAAATTTAAAAAATAAATAAATAAATAATAATGTTATCTACCATTTAGGCAGGGCTTACTTTGTGCCACTGTTTTAACCACTGTAAATGCATCATTAACTCATTTAATCTTCACATCAATACTATGTGGTAAGAACTATTTCCATTTCAAATGAGAAAACAGACATAGAACTATTAAGTCATTTACCTAAGGTCACACAGCTAGTTAGGTGACAGGGCTAAGACTCAAACCAGTTATTAAAGTTTAAATGTAAGTGCTCTTAACTAACTTTCTATATTGCCATTTAACTCATCATCATCACATATTTAAAATAGTCTAGTTAATGTATTGTTTTTGAGAATTGCTTAGAGATTAGATTTTTCAGCATTCTCATTAAAAAGAAAAAACCTGTTAGGTAATACATGTTAATTAGCTCAATTTAGCCATTCCACAGTGTATACATAATTCAAAACATCATGATTTTATTAATTGATATAAGTTTAAAATACAATAATAAAAAGTTATTAAACATTCTGAGGCTGGTGATATAGCTCAGCTGGTAGAGTTCTTGTTTCACATGCACAAAACCCTAGGTTCAATTCACAACACCACCAAAACAAACAAATAAAAAATTAAATATTCTATACATATTTTTCTTGTCACAATATTATAAAGGGGAAATCATGTTAGAGCCAAATTTATCAGTTAGAGCCCAAGAGATAGTAAAAAATAAAAATAAAATTACTCTGGATTTCTAAAAGTGTTTATTTCAAAACAGTTTTGATTATCTAGTGAAAAATATCTTAACTATGCAGAAGTAGTTTTGTGTATAAATGCCTATGCCAAAAAGACACAAATGTGGACAATAGATCTCCCAACAATTTTAACATTTTTTCCTAAGTCTAAGTTAAAGTATTTAAAAACTTAATTTTTGATGTAAGGCAATTTTTTTCATAAGTAAATAAGATAAATATGAAATAGAACATATAGAAATTCAAAATTATTATGCATTGTGATTTTATAAAGAAATTTTTCATGTATTTATACTCCTTTCAAAAATGATTTAGGGGGCTGGGGTTGTGGCTCAGTGGTAGAACGCTTGCCTAGCATGTGTGAGGCACTGGGTTTGATTCTCAGCAACACATATAAATAAATAAATAAATGAATGAATGCATAAATAAATAAAGGCCCACTGACAACTAAAAAATATTAAAAAAAAAAAAAAAAAAAGATTTAGGGAATAAAATACAGAGACCATAACTAAGAAAGAAGTGATGTTTGGTTGGCCAAAGTTCCCAAGCAATAAGGTAAATGTAAGAAATATAACACTCTGATAATGAAATAGGCAGACAGATACTTAACAGTACAGAAGCCGTTGGAATAATGATCTTTCACATAGGCTCTTAAAGCATTGTCACAGGATTCTCTCCAAGACTTCAAACCTCCATCTACTTCCTCTGGTTGAGGGTCACTTGCTTCTTTCCGTAAGTGATCAAACTTAAAGGAAATTTTGTTTCTTGGATCTAAAAATCGGCTATTACCCAGGTCACCATGCTCTGTAATTAAGACCTTCCAAAGAAGAATTAAAATTATGAGTAACTATAAAAAATATAGTTATCACATTTTGCAAAACAAGTAAATAAAATTGAGGAAAGCAGTTTTTCATTAAGTCAAATTTCTCTTTCATATTGATTTTTCCAAGTCTCATTTTCATTCTTATGAAAATATTATATTTATAAGTCAACTTTATCCTATAAATTGCCCCCCTCCTAAACACCCATCATTTCTTGGTTTGTCTAATATTTATGTAAGTACTTTTGTACACTTTGGTATTCTTTTTTCTATATTTTATGAAAAAATTTCAGAGTCATTATACTGAACATTTAAAAATATATAAAGGTAAAAATCTCCTATTTCCCAAATAGCAAATTCCTAAAGGAACTTAAAGTAGCCTACATTTCAGTATGAATGCTTTTATTTCCCCATTGAATAAAAATGTCTCCTGTTATTCTTACCAAAAAGAATTAGAGACAGCTGGAAAACTTTTAAGATCTTTTTATTTTCTCTCTTCATATTAGGGACAGCGCTCTCTCTGTCTCTCTCTCTTTTTTTTTTTTGTCAAAAATAACAACTAGTATCAGCAGAAAGAGAAAAGAATTTCCTAATGTGTAGAATATTTTTTAAAACTTTGAAAGCCAAGACATAAATTTATTCAGCACTTAATTCATACATCAGCTTTGGTTTCTATCATCTCAACTACCTGTCAGGCATAGTCTATCTAATGGGCAATTATTACCTGATCTTCATATCCTTCTATCTTCACAGGTGTGAACTGGTCCATGTTATATTGGGCAAATGCACTGTTAAAAAAAATTTAAAAGTACTATTAGAATCTTCGTTTACCAGTTGCTCAAGCCAAAAACTTAGGAGTGATTGACTTTTCTCTTTCACATTTTACATCCAATCCATCAGTAAATCTTACAGGTTCTATGTGAATGTATATTCAGAATCTGACTCCTTCCCTCACCTACACTGCTTCCACTCTAGTGCAAACACCTACTATCTATCCCTAAACTATTCTAATGCTCTTGCAAATATTTGTCTTACTTCAGCCTCTGCCCTGATACATAGTGATTACAATAATCATAGCCAGTAATCATTCTAAAATTTAAGACTCATCATGTTTACTCTTATTAACATCCTATCTCACTTGGAGGAAAATTCACTCTTCAATGCAACCTACAATACCTTATTTATATCAGAAGTGCTGTGAATTATCAAGAAAAGGTTCTGGTGGTTAGAAACATAGGTGGAAATCCAGGAAAGGGTTAAATCTCATATCTATCCAAACTTCTTCAATTAATATAGAAGGTGATGGTGATGATGATGATTACTGCAACATTTACTGAGCACTAACTATGAAGACTGCAGTCAAGAGATTGAAGCATTTCATTATAGAAATAAAACTGAATCCTTCATCTCTATAAGCAAGTAGTTGGGCTTAGAAAAATTCTTAAAAGAAAGGTTTTCCAAAAACCTACAGTCTGTAAGATGCGGAGTATCTATACATATAAAATAAAGCTTTAATGTCAGTCGGTGCAATTAAAACATCTGAACTACTTACCAACTTCTTCTACTCAGTCTTAATTTTTAGAACTGTGAAAAAAGGCTTAAATTGCACTCATTCTTAAGTGGCACAGAACCCCCTAAGACTTCAGCAGTACTTTGACAAGAGAAATACAGAGTAGATTTAATTTGGGTAGCTCTCAGATATAAAACTAGGACCAATGTGGCAGGGAAATTGAAGAACTTGCTTTGCGAAATAGGGAATTCCTTATTACTAGAAGCATTCACACTGGATAACCATCCATTGAAAGATACAGATGAGATTCAGTGCATCTTCAATGTGTCTTATTTTTCTAAATAAATGTGTAACTAGAGTATCATTCATGATGACAATTACAGTGATGGTATGCAAATCATAGATACACAGAACATAGTCCCAAAATGAATTCCAAAGAAGCAGAACAGGGCAGGAGAAGATTGTTTCCTGTTTCCTGGGTATCGGCTCTTAAAACTGTTCTCTAGGGGCTGGGGTTATAGCTCAGCAGTAGAGCGCTCGCCTAGCACGTGCGAGACTCTGGGTTCAATCTTCTGTACCACATAAACAAACAAACTGTTCTCTATAGCTAAAATCTAAACAAATTACATATCATGCCAAAATGATTTTATGGTAGTTATTTTTCCTTTACATCAAAATATCCTTGACCTCCTCATCCCACCTCTTCTCAGTCATTATTAATTTTTTTTTTTTTTAAAAGGAACTCTGGGACAGTTGGGTAGACAATAAGTGAAATGAAACTTGGCACTGAAGCGGAGAGTCATGAAAAGAATAATAGCAGGCTTTGAAAGACTGACAGCATTTAGATTTAACTCTAGAATACAAAAAAAAGATAACCCCCCCAATGTTTCTGAGGACAAGGGCAAAATGATGTTTTAGAAAGATTAGTTAGCCTGACAACGATATGAATAATAAGGTTGAAAGCTTTTATCTTATTGTTAATTTTATTAAAGCACTTTATGAATATCTGTTATTATTTGGCAATTTGAGATACATCAATTCTGATTAGCAATCTAATCCTTCTATAACCAGCAGTTTAAAAATATAAACATGGGCTGGGGATATAGCTCAGTTGGTAGAGTGCTTGCCTAGCATGCACAAGAACCTGAGACCAATCCCCATCACTACCACCAAAACAAAAACAAAACCAAAAATACAACAACATGAAATAGAAGAAAACATAATAGTTAACATTAAATTCTGCTCTAATAGGGAGAATCTGGACAAACACAAAAATAAATTGGCACAGTGGTGTGCACTGGTAATTCCAACTTTTCAGGAGCCTGAGGCAGAAGGATTGTAAGTTTGAGGCAATTTAGCGAGATCCCATCTTAAAGTAAAAAAAATAAAAAGGGCTAGGAATGTAGCTCAGTGGTAGAGTGGCCCTGGATTAAATCCCCAGTACAGCAAAAATAAATGAATGGATGAATAAAAAATAAGTTCACATAATAAGCTTCAAGTAAGTAAAGAACATTTGTGGGGCACATGTTTTCTCTAAGAAAAATAAAATAAAAGACCAATTGCTTTATTTTGAAGTATTTTTAAACTTAGTTTCCAGGGTGCCAATTTACCCAATGTTAGAATAATATTGTATGTGGATTTAGAAAAGATACTTACTGTGCTGCTCCTTCCCTGAGGAGATTGTCATTGTTAAGTAGTAGCCGGACATCTGAGGAGGAAACCGTGTTGAAAGGTTAAGTACAGGACAAACTTAAGAATTTTTAGTAGACTTCTAGAACAGATATTTAAACTTCAGGCTTTGACTTGGTGTGGTGGTGCAGGCCTGTAATTCCAGCTACTCAGGAAGCTTAGGCAGGAGGATTCCAAGTTTGAGGCCAGGCTCAGCAACTTAGCTTGGTCCTAAGCAACTCAGTGAGATCCTGTCTCAAACTAAAAAATAACAAGGGCTGAGGTTGTGGTTCAGAGGTAAAGCACTCCCTACTTCCAAAAACAAAAAAAACATCCAGGCTTTGCAAAATTAGGCTTTAGATAAGCTGTATGAGTAGATATTTTAAAAATGCCAATAAATAGATGCTAATGTTCATAGGTCTGTAAACAATTATTTGCAGTATAATAATCCAACAATAAAAATCTTAAGGAATTTCATAGCAAAAGAAAACTATGTTTTACAGAAGGTCTAGTGAGGACCATTAATTTATTTTTAGTTTTTGCGGTGCTGCAGAGAAAACCCAGAGCCTCACACATTCTAAGCAAGTGTTTTATTACTGAATTTCTTTCCAAGCAGGATTGTCAATTTTTAAAATTATTTTATTTTTTGATCCCAGGAATTGAACCCAGGGGCACTTAACCACTGAGCCAAATATCCAGCTCTGTCTTACATTTTATTTAAAGACAGGATCTCACTGACTTGCTGAGGCTGACCTTGAACTCACAATCTTCTTGCTTCAGCCTCCTGAGCTGCTGAGATTATAGGCGAATTCTTAAAAATAGGACACATTTTAATATAAAAACAAATGAGAATATTTTATACATCACACTGCAGTCTGTTCAGAAAATTGAAGCAGGACATCACTTCATCTTTCCCTAATAGTTCAACATTGCAGATTGAAAGCAGGATGATTAGGAAACATCTGGATTCTTAGGTGAGGTTGGCCTTCACTTTATTGCAGGGTTCAAGATTTCTCAGAGGTTAACAGAGCCAAATGCCGTGGATAAAATTTCACAGATTTTCTGTGCTTGTTCTATTCTATGGCACTGGTAAACCCACAGGTTGTATTCTTCATTGCTTGCATGTAAGCTTAAGATCTAGAGGTCCTTCAAGATCTTTTCCCTCAGAGTGTTTCTCCCACATCATTGCCAACATTCATTGTTACTTTATTCATTTTTTAAAAAAATATTTTTAGTTGTAGATGGACACAATACCTTTATTTTATTTATTTATTTTTATGTGGTGCTGAGAATCAAACTCAGTGCCTCACATGTGCTAGGCAGGTGCTCTACAACCCCAGAGTAAGATGGAATCTGGGGTTTTTTGTTTTGTTTTGTTTTTAATATTTGCTTTTTTTTAAGTTGTAGTTGGACACAATACCTTTATTTATTTTTATGTGGTGCTGAGGATCAAACCCAAGCACTCTACCCCTGAGCCACAACCCCAGCCCTCAGTAGTTTTTTTTTAAACTTCTTTTTTTGTAGTTGTAGATGGACAGAATGCTTTATTTTTATGTGGTGCTAAGGATAGAACCCAGTGCCTCACACATGCTAGTCAAGTGCACTGCCATTAAACTACAACCCCAGCCCTGAGTATACTTTTTTTTTAATTTGCATTTTTAATTTGCATTTCTCTAATTGCTAGAGATGTTGAACATTTTTTCATGTATTGTAGACCAATCATATTTCTTTTTCTATGAAGTGTCTGTTCAGTTCCTTTGCTCATTTATTAATGGGTTATTTGTTCTTTTGGTGTTAGTTTTTTGAGTTCTTTATATATCCTGGAGATTAATGCTCTGAGGCGCAGGTGGCAAAGATTTTTCTACCAAGAATGAGAATCTTGAGGGAATGATAAAGTTGACTCTAAGTTTAATAAGCTCCCTGGATGCAGCCAATTCATCCCCAGTGGCCGTAGAGTGTGTACTATAGTATGGAACTTCTGGAGTGAAAGCAATGGTACTGAAGATCAAACCAAGGGGCACTTAACCACTGAGCCCCTCCCCAGCCCTTTTTTATATTTTATTTTAGAAAGAGGTCTTGCTGAGTTGCTTAGGGTCAGTTGCTGAGGCTGGCTCTGAAACTGTGATCATCCTGCCTCAGCCTCTAGTACCACAGGGATTACAAGTGTGCCTGGCTCAACAGTGATGAAATTTAAGCTATTACTTATCATGATAAAAATAAAACTATAAAATTTAACATGGTTTCTACTTTTTTATGTTAAACTATCTTAAATCTTTTCTCACCTAAGATAGATGTGGTAATTAATGGGTTAAGAGCTTTAACTCAGACCTGGAATTAAATCCTTACTTTGATGCTTACTAGCAGGGTGACCTTGGACAAGTTATTTCAATCATTTTGAATGTTGATTTCCTTTGCTATAGCTGTAACCTGTCAAACAGATTAAAAGAATGACTGTAATTAAGTACAGCTTCAAATAACTAAATAGTAACCCTTACTTACCATTGAATACTTCATTAAACTCCCCTGGGGGTGCATGAGTGATGAATTTAGCAGCTATACGTACCTAAACAAGAAATAAAATTTAGAGTAAGTGTACTGTGAAGAATAACATATAAAAGAAGGAATTACCAAACTATGAAATTTTTATATTAGCTCTTAAAATGAAATTTCCTGTTTAAGCCTTTACGGCCTAGAGGTCTTTAGATTTTCTTTAAAAACAAACAACAAACAAAAAAACACCCAAAGCTGTTTCTGTCAATATAGATGTATTCTGATTTTAGAATATTTGTGCTGCTTTAATCATTTTGAGTTTTTCTCTAAAGCTAATAATCGAGCCAGGTTCAGTAATGCACACCAGCAATCCCAGTGACTTGGAAGCCTAGGGCAGGAGGACCTTGAGGCCAGCACCAGGAACTTAGTAAGACACTATCTCAAAAAAGTACAAAAGTCTGGGGATGTAGCTCAGTGGTAAAGTGCCCCTGGGTTCAATCAACAGTGCAAAACAAAACAAAACAAACAACAAAAAAACCCAAAACCAGTTTTCCGTCAAAAAAGAGAAAAAAGCTATGATCCTATTTCAAAAACTTAAAAACACTTAAGCAAAACTAAATAAGATATTAGCAAAATAAGTATATTCTAAGCATTTATTGCAATGCAAGAATGGTTCAAGACAAATACATTAATCTTAAAGAAGCAAAACTGTGTGATTATCCTAATTCATGTTAGAAAAAAATGACAAAATTCAACAGTCATCCCACCATCATAAAACAACAAAAACTACTAGGCTTTGGTAGGAATAGAATAAATTTCCTGGACATGAGAAAGAGCCAAAATTCTATAACAAACTTCATAATGAAACATAAACGTTGTTAATAATTTTAAAGGCAGGACAAGAATGATTCCTACTGCCTCTACTAAATACACCGTACCTATAAGTCCTGAAAAATGTCATGAAAATATCTCTTTTTGTTAAATCATCCAGACCTCCCTTTTCTGTTCCCCAACAGCTATTCTCCTCTGGATCACTTATTAAAAATGGATATTAAAATGTTAGGATCTCCTTTTTTTTTTTTTTTTTTTTGTTACTGGGGTTTGAACCAAGGGATGCTTTATCACTGAGTTACAGCCTTAGTCCTTTTTATTTATCATTTTGAGATAGGGTCTTGTTAAATTGCTGAGGCTGGCCTTGAACTTGTGATTCTCCTGCCTCGGTCTTCTGAGTAGCTAGGTTTATAGGCAGGGGCCATTGTGCCCAGCAAAATCCTATATGAGTTAAAATTTTAAGACCTGAAAGACAAAATTTGACATGTGAACTACTTAGCAACAGGCACAAGGAGTACATTCCACAAACACACACCTCAGAATATTCTCATGTACATGAAGTTTGAGAACCCTGCCATGATGAAATAATTAGATAAAATATTATTTTTCTGAAAATAATGAGAACTGGTAAAGATCAGGATGGGGATTATTCTATATTAATTGAGGAAAACAAAAAAGAAATGGGTTCTAATTAGGAAGAGTATTCACGAAAATTATACAACATGAAACTACCTGCTACAATATGGATATTCCACTGTGTTTATTTTCTTCGATATATATATATTGAATAATGTTCTGTATTCATCACCTGTTTGTGTCAATCACTTAGTTAAGAAATTAGTAAACCTGCTGGGTATAATGGTGATGCCTATTAAAAAAAAAAATCCCAGCTACTCAGGAGACTGAGGCAGGAAGATCATAAGTTCAAGGCCAGCCCGAGCAACTTAGACCCTATCTCAAAATAAAAACACAAAAAGGACTGGGGATGTAGTTCATTGGTAGAGCACCCCTGGGTTCAATCCTGGGTACTGGAAAAAAAGAAACTAGCAAACCTATTTTGAATAATAAACCTTTTTTCTAGTTTATTTGTGGGAAATCTGCCAAGTGGGCTACAATCCATACCATTTTCTATGAAGCTGCATTTCCTGTAATTCTTACACAACTGCGAAAACTCAGCAAAGCATTTGTAGTGGAAAACTAAACATATACATATTCATACATTACAAAAGGCGTTTCTGCAAAAGAAAAGACACAAGCCATAGTTCATAGATAGCCTCATAAAATAACATCTAAATGTATAATAATAAAAATTACCAAACTGAGGGCTGGGGTTGTGGCTCAGTGGTAGAGCACTTGCCTCGCATGTGTGAGGCACTGGGTTAGTGCTACATAAAAAACAAATAAATAAAATAAAAGTACTGTGTTCATCTACAACTAAAAATATTTTTTAAAAAGTTACCAAACTGAAAATTCAAGATACTTATATTTCTGAAGTCGCACCAAAATTTTCAGAAAAGTCACAAAATCTGATGAAATTGGTACAACTGAAAGAAAGAAGACTAAATAATGGATGAACTGTACCTGCATATAAAAAAATAATAGTTCACCAATTCAGTAACTAGAAGAGAAGTATCAATAAATAGAGATTGAGGACTGAATAATACACTGTTACAACCCTAAGGATCTAAAACCTAGAAAGGAATATACCAAGCAGGAATTAAACGCAGAACTAGACACAAAGTAAGGCCCAATGAGTTCTATCTATGTATGTAGGAGGGGCAGTGGTCTTCAAAGTCAGTGATGTTTGAGCTGGATTGGAGTAGGTAAAGCCAGGAGGGCATCTCAGGCAGAGCAAACAATACATACAAACTCAAACAGGTCATAACAAACAGAACTAAGCCTGTTTTATTTTTTTAAAAAATATTTTACTTACATTTTAGTTTTTAGCATACACAACATCCTTGTTTGTATGTGGTGCTGAGGATCGAACCCGGGTTGCACACATGCCAGGGGAGCGCACTACTGCTTGAGCCACATCCCCAGCCCCAAGCCTGTTTTAAATATCTAACATAATACATAGAAGCCACATAGATTAAAAATTCAATTTTTAAGATTGTAAAGAGGTCCCTGGTGCAAAAAGTTTGAGAAGAGCTCTATATACTGACGTGGTTAAATGTTAATGATCTCTCTTAAGTGAAAAGGATTTACAAAATGATGTATTATTACTAAAATTTTATTTACACAAATATATAGCTACTAAATATTAACAGGGACTATTCTCTATTAGTTGTATTAGAAAAGATATTTTTCTTTCTTTTTATGATTTATCTCTGCCCAAAAGAATATATTACTTGCATGATGAAATTTTAAATTTCTTAAAAAAATAAAAACAGAAGAGCATGTCAACATCTCTTATCCTTTAATTAAAAAAAAAAAAAATGAAAGGGAGCTAGGCATGATAGTGTCAGCCTATAATCCAAGCTACTCTACTCAGGACGCTGAGGCAGGAGGGTCACCAAGTTCAAGGCAAAAGTAGGCAACTTAGCAAGACCCAGTCTTAAAAAATCAAAAGAGCTGGGGATGTAACACAGTGGTAGAATGACCACTGGGTTCAATTCCCACTACCACCACCACCACCACCAAAAAAAAAAAAAAAACGGGGCGGGGGGCATAAAGATAAAGGCTACTGAAAGACATCTAAATTCAAGAACCAGCTCAAGGAAGCAAAGGACAATAAAAGGAGATTGTCAAAATGCTAAAGGTAACAAAGAGGGCTTTTTAAAGTTACAATTCCTGTCCCCAAAGGGGTGGTGTTGCAGATGAACCCACGGTTTCACACATGCTAGGCAAAGGCTCTACAAACACATCCCCCACTCCACAGTCGGCTTTTTAAAGTTACTCCTTGACAGAAGTTTTTGCCTTATTCACAGCATGTCTACATAATGTCTTATGCTTGAAAATAAAGGTTGACAAATTGTTACATGAGGCGATTGTATTGATAGAGAAAAGTAATGTAAACGCTAACTTCCATTTTCTAAAGAAAAGAAAAGAAACTGAAATATATAAAAGTCAGAGAGGGGACTGGGGTTGTAGCTCAGTGGTAGAGTGCTTGCCTTGCATGTGTGAGGCCCTGGGTTCAATCCTTACCACCACATATAAAAAAATAAATAAATAAAATAAAGGTATTGTGTCCATCTACAACTAAAAAAAAAATATTTAAAAAAAATCAGAGAGGAACATAAAAGTAGTATTATTTGAAGTCAGGTTCAAAGTGTTGAAGTTATCCCAGTGCATCTGAGAATATCAAGAGCAAAGGAAAGAAATATTTAATTATAGAAACCACAACATCTCCTAGTTTTTAGATGAAAGTGGGGAGATCTGAAGATACATGCAATGGCAAGAGTGAAATGCCAAATGAGTGGTAAGAAGGAATGTGATCATCCTCAGATGCCAATGTGGAATCCTAAAACATTCTCATAGCAAGAAATACCATGTTACTGAGAAAGCCACTAAAATGACAGATTACTAGGTATTAAACATTTTACAGTCTTTGAAGTATTAAGCTGATTTATCACTAACACAATGATGTTATAATAATAACCTGAAGGAGTAGAAGACATAATAATACATTTCTACACTCACTATAAAATCTATAGCATGTATGCTCCTTGGTTTACAAGTCCCTTCATAATTTGTACCCATCTCAGCAACTCTTTCTTACCACATAGTACCTAGTCCTACAGCTATACTTTTTTCTCAGGGCTACTGAATCTTTTGTCGCTTTTTGGCAAAAATACTCTTCTACAGATGGTTCTTTCACATTCATTAATGTCTCTGTTTTAATATCACTGAATAAATAATGTACCGTTCCCCGATTTTTGTATATAAAATCTATTGCTGCACCCTTTCCATCCTTCACAATTCTAGCTTCTTTATCTGCACTATTGTTTCTCAAAGAACTTGCAGCCATTAGACATACAATTATAAGTTTACTGTCCAGCACCGTCAAAAGAACTTCAAGAACACAGAGCAGGAGTTAGCAAACTGCTAATGTAAAGAGCAGACAATAAATACTTCAGAGCTTGGTGGGCCACATAGTTTGTCTCAACTGTAAATAAATAAGCATGATTGTGTTCCAATGAAACTTGATTTTGTATTTCATGTAATTTATATTTCATGTAATTTAATGACATGGAATATTATTATTTTTTAAATTTTGTTTCAAATCATTAAAAAAAATTA